TTTTATCTTCACATACACATATATCATATATATGCGACCTAAAGCTCATCCATCAGCGTAGCTTTAAAAGTTCCGAAGGCTCATTGTAAATTATTGATGATAGCGCGATAGCTAAAATAGTTTTCATTAAAAATATAACGAGGTTTCAGTTTTTGAGCAGGCTCTGCTGAGAAATGCAGAAATTAATGCTTTATAGCGTGCAATACTATATTTTCCCTACATAAAGATATCGTTTATGATATAAGGGGAAATCGGAAAGTAAAGAAAATGCCGGAAAATGAATATAAGACTGAGTGGGTTGCAGCTATAAATGATTGGTTGAAGCTATAAATGTGTGCTTGTAAACGCCTTTGCGTAGCTTACGCCGCAAGAGTGTACGAAATTTGAGCGGATATGTGAAGCAGCCAGCAGAACTTGTGGCAAAACCAGGTTTTAGTAAGCCGACCGATTCAGAATCACTTTCTGAAACAATCTAGAAAATGGTTCGGATTAAACCTACCGCTTTCCATATAGCATTATGGGAAATTGAAAATTCGTTGTACTCCGCGAAGTGATGTAGGATATTTAATAGTGTGCTCTGTCGCACCATAGTGTCTTCATTTTTCTGATAAACTTCTCACTGGGTGTACCCAGATAATTCCACTTACAGCATGTAGAACTATTGGTATTTTGAATGTATTCAGACATATATAATAACCATCTTAAGAAATATCGTTGATCGCAAAAACGCCCTACGTTTTATATTTTATGCGCGATAGAACAGGGGACGCTCCCTATGGAGGGGGAGACGGGGAATGGCGTCAGCTTAGGATGAGGTCAACCTTTACCGACCGAGTACTCGTTTTAGGAACAACAACATACTGATCGTAATTAAAGGCCGACCGGATTGGTGGTTCAACCCGGGTGTACTGCCTTGATAGTCGCGCCCTTTAACACATTTGCGAATGTAAATGCCGCAGTATTTCAATTTTGAAGACAGTAATTTTCCATTTACTTCTCTATCGTCCTGGGGTCTTCCAATTATTGTAGTTGCCGAAGTATTGGCTAACTGATTCTTAGGTTGGGTTTAAATTTGCTTATATCGCTTTCAACTTTGTAGATTTCTGCACTCTACAAAGAGAGCAGATTGACTCATCGTTCCGTTTTTCTTATGTTTTCTTTAGAATATGATCTTCTAAGTACCTTTCGGATGTCAGATGTAATTCTAAAATAAAATCACTTTAAAATTTTGAACGTCACTGAAATTTGTACACACCGCGAACGTGTCAAGCACGTGCCTTGGGTCTACTTTTAAAGGTGAACTATTGACTTTTCCCTCTAATCATTTCAATTTTGCTTATATTGGATATGAAAATTCACGTAAACGTGTTAAACTATGAAACAACGGTTGCGCTGATCTTTAATAATCTTATTTTCATTTGCCCGCTGTTCCTGTTCTACGCCTAAGGAATTCATATATGACAGTTTCTTATGCGTTTTCCTCACACATGTTTGTTATTACATTTTATTTACATTATAATGGATTTACCCTAGAGCTTAAAAATGCTATTAAATCGAGGCATATTCGTACAAAAAGAACCTCAGGCCACAAAAGTGCAACATATGAGTTGCATACTTACATCATATATATAATATAATGTATATATATATATTCATTTGTATACAAATTCATATTTATTATGAAAATGATAATAATAAATAAATGTTATTAAATGCATAATAATTTTGTTTCTTTTTTTAATGTTTACAGAACATTATTAAAAACACTTGTGTGCTTTGTTAATAAATATAAAAATATAACAAAAATGAGAAAAACAAAATGGCAGACCTCCAGAGATTTTTATATGCAAAGCTATACACACATGCTGAAAGAATTAAATAAATTAACTCAAAAATATTTAATTAAAATTCATTTTTTTCTTATACTCTCACCACTATATGGAGTATTTTATGTATAAAAAATGCTTGTTCAGGGGATTGCACTATGCCTACATGTCTGTACGGTTGTCGAGAACACGACATTGATTTTAAAACTTTACCTAGAGAAGTAAACTTTGTCAAGAATTTTCCTTATAATTTTGCTGTGGTTAGGTTTCAACTTAATTTAAAAAACACAACGGAGAACCACAGCCCACTATTAAATTCCGTACACAACCCTATAGTTATTCATAGAATTTATTCGATGCATTAATATTTTTGCTTGCTGTAAGTCGCATTACTGGGGCACGTCCGCTAAGAAGTATAAAAAAGAAATAGAAACATTATGGTGGGACACTACCTACTCTTAAATACCCTACACTACTTCGCTTAATATAATTATACATGTGTGGACACCGGATTAATAAAGATTCGAAAATTCTCCTCTTTTTTTTTTTTAAGTTACAACCCATAGCTTAAGTGGCTTTACGTGCTAAGTCGAAAGATCATTTCCCACGAAACTTGCATCAAACTCTTTAAAAATGTTTTGTTCGGTACATGTATGACGGACGCGCTTGATTGTACAACCAATTGTGTACGCGCAGCGCTTCCCGAAAAACTGCAGGTGCAATGGAATATATGGATCGTATACAAAATAGTAGCGGATATTAAAGCATTAAATGAAGTTTTAGTAAAAAATTCTTCCTTATTCTTTCATGACACATCACTTTTTTTATAGAAACTCCAAAGTTGTGCCGACCAAGCAAATATATAATATCGTGGTTTCTGAATGAAAACCCATTACAAACTAACAGGAGTAACTAATTACCAGTAGATACGATATCTGATAATAATATTTGTATTATAAATAAAGCATTTGTTTAGGTAATACGTGCACACAGAATGACGACAATACCGTAAATTCTTCCTTTAATTGTTGCGTCGAATCTCGGTAACTGTTCGTGCGCTTGCGAACAAATTAATGTAATTCTCTATTGCTGATCATGCAAAGAAAAAGACTTTGCAACTAAACTGAACTTTAACATTACAATCGTCGTTTCAACAATCCAAATATATTCCGGTATTTAGGCGGTCGTCTCCCACGAATTTGACAAACGTAATATACAATCTATGATATGTGATGATATATAATCCGCGATATGAGAGGAATATTCGACAACGTTCAGAAAAAAAGTTCTTTAAAAGAACGGTTGCGAACGAAATGATCAGAACTAGTTTCCCGCCTCTTACTACTGGAGGCTTCCAATATTATATTCAAGTTCTATTTCTGATCGTTAGGTGTTTTATGTGTTAAAGCATTAAGAAATAAGTGAAAAAGATATGTTGCTTTTTTGCCCACGTTATCAGTCACTGACAAAATGTAATAAAAAACAATGCGTTAGTTATGCTTAAACTTTTTAAATTAATTCCTAGGCTCTTCCAAATAAAAGCCGGAGTTGCAGATCTTACTAGTTAAACCCTTAGGCTGAGCAAAAATCCCTAGTCTTTGGGAAATCCCCTTTTTATCTTAACGGCATACGTTTTGCTCCATGTTTGCAAGATGAAGAAATACGTCGCGGAGGTCCTATAAAGAGTATATAAATTGTTGATTGAAGATCGAGCCGAATACCTCGGTTTAACAGTGCACAGAATCGATATTTACGTCATAATAATTTTGTCCAGCAGCAGGACTTTTATGTTAGAGATTGCCTTTTCACTGTCGCCAGATTAAACGCCAATGGAAAGAGCAATGTTTTCCTTTTGATCACTTTTCTAACGTTGTCTATGACTGGAGGAAGAAAGTTATGCTGAACGTGTGCAGTCAATGACTAATAAGAGAGAGAGACATGCGAAACGCATGCATTCTTGATACGCATAAGGTTCTGATACCAAAAATCTAAAAGAGAGAAAGAAAACTGTACCTCTCGTCCCAAGTACATAGAATATTCCGCAGGGGCAATGCAGACGCAATCTTTAATTCCATGTGCGATCTAAGAATTTAGTATAACGATGTCCTAATCGACGAGAAAATATCTTACACTTTCTTATATACCAATACATAAGATCCTGAATAGCAAATACTACACTCAAGAAGAGTTTTGTACTTCTTCTTCCCCTTTTCCATTAACTATCACAATAGTACGCTACATATAAATGAAAAGGTTCTAATTCGTATTATCTCTTGTGACCTGCTCACAACTCTATTTGAAAACAAAAGAAAGAAATAAGACAATGATCTTAAATGTCGTAGGGAAGTTGAAACTTTTCTAATTTCAACTTTTGCTGGTTGTGACAAATGGAATAACAGAACTAATATATATATATGATCATATCGCAAACACCAAAGAATACAAAATTGTGCTGAGAGGCATTTCCGTTCACATTATTAATCAATTAGCAAAAAAATAAATTTTTAATTATTATAAATGTAATAATATGTTAATTGATAAGTTTTTTTCTTATGCAATCAACCGCACACTTATACATGGAATGCTAAAGTAGTAGATAGTATTTTATTACAAAATTTTTTTTTTTTTTTTTGTTTTTGTTTAAATATTACATCATAAATTATGTGGCATGATTTTTATTTAATTATATGTTGAAAAACTTTTATTAAAAAAAGGCAAGAAAAAAAAAAGTGATGTTGTTTTTCTAACAATTGAATGCAGTTCACCTTATTAAAAGTTTTATTTCATTGTTTACTAGATTCGCTTAAGAAAAGTTTAAATTAAACCACTGCTAACTGTGTTTAATTTGTTCTATAGTTTTTTTTTTTTTTATCATTAGCGAGGAAAAGAGACGAAAACATTAAAGCAAAAATCATAAATCATTAAAATATATGGAAAATGTTATAAAAATATATATATTGTTTTTGTTTTTGTTTTTAATTTAAATTATGAAGTGAAAAAACAAAGCTTTTAGAAGTGTATGATTTGTTTTTTCTTTTTTTCTTTGTTGTTTTTTATTGTTATATTTATGTTTTCTATTTTTTTTTTTTGTGTTTTTTTTTTTTTTTTAAGTTTAAAGAATATTTTTAATTTGATAAATAAGTTACTAATTAAAAAATTTTACAAATTATTTAGGGTTCCGATTTACCGATATACATTTGGTATGAAAGCTATCCTGAGCACATCGAAGAAGGTTATAAAGGACGTGTGTCGCGTGTGTCACCCGATTCGCCATTCGGTTCGGCATCACTCAATTTGACCAACATCAAAGAGTCGGATCAGGGTTGGTACGAATGTAAAGTGGTTTTCTTAAATCGTGATCCCAAACAGCATAAGAACGGTACATGGTTCCATTTAGACGTACATGCACCGCCACGTTTTAGTGTTACACCCGAAGATATTATATACGTTAATTTAGGTAAGTACTTTAAACATATTTTTCTTCCGAATTAAAAATATATATACACTATGCAATGAATATTTGCTGAGCCATGTCCATAATAGTCAAAAAATTAAAGCAATCTCCAAAAACATCTTCTTCACTAAATTTGCTATTACTTACGGTTGCGTATTTCCAAAAATTTGTAGCCAATTATTGGATACTATAATCACGATTTCCACCAGCTCTAGTTTGGACGGTACTTGACATTATTTCGGGAAAAGTTCTTCTACTCATCTTAAACGACAACGCCTAGGTAACGAGAACTCGATGGCGTTGACCAAATACGTATTTTCTTCATACCTTACCAGAGAGCAAAACAATTACGCTACAATCACAAGTTACGAACACTTTCAATTCATCTATCTCATGGATAATCTCCTGGCTTTTTATATAGATACAATTTGACCAATTTATATCAATCAATCTTGTTTCTAATGTGATGCGGTGACTGCAATTCACTTATTGCTAAGCAATTATGAAACGCATACACGGAGACCGAATTATAAGTGAGCCACTACGAAAACTTCTAATCGACTACTGGCCGGACGTTATTTTACATTTTTTATCATGTTTGATTTATTTTTATTTATTTTTTTTTTTCGAAACGACCAATCATTCGGGAAATGTCCTCTATATGTGTAACACGATGATGATTAAGAAGAAGTTGGAAAAGAGAAAGAAGAAGAAGTAGAGAGAGGCTGCCGAAAATCTACTGAATACGTGCTCATCTGATAATCACTATCATCTCTTAGCTACGGCCAAGTATGATCGACAGCATTAAGACTTGAGTCGAACATTGACGTAGTAGTTGCGACTCTTATCTTGATATAAAACTCTGCAACTTCGAAGATATCGAAGAAGAAATTGCAATTGGACATGAAAGTGAACATGAGATGGATGAAGAAAGTAATGCAACGGCTCGCAAGTACAGCGTTCACGCGCGTCTCACAAAAATGTAAATTCTCTCTCTAAGGCGTCTGATCTTCGCTTTAAAGATAAATAAATAAAATTTATAGTACATGGCAAAATAAAAATCGCTAAAGAAGCTTAACAGTGATACTAGCGTTGAAAAAGCGCCACATTTGATTCTGTATGAACTTAATTTCAAAAACAATCGGTAATTAACTCTTAATTGTGGGCGTATTAGCAAACCCTTTGTCGCACTTTTCGACTCTATTAGCAAATAGTCTTGAAAAATATCTGGGTAAGAGTTTTGTGAAACGACATCGTAAACTATAAACGAAACTCGAGGCGATTTTCTCCAGCTTACCACAGTTTCTTGTCTACTGGCGGCCTTTCTAATCGATCAAGTAGTACGTGGTATGTAAAATTTCGCCTTCTTATCTTTATTCTTGCGGCTGTGACACTTCCTGAAAAATGCGAACCAAATTTACTTATATTTTTCTATATATATTAAATAAAAATTTCCTATATAGATGTATAAAAATAAATTCTAAGATTTCAGTCTTAAAGCATTAGCATCTAAGGCTATCGACTTTATTGAAAACTCTACCGCATTTGAGGTGTTTTGCAAAATGTTTAATACAATAATAAAAAAAAAAATAATAATAATAAATAAATAAAACATGGAACAAAACTGACAATAATAACAGTACTACCTCTTAAAGGTTAAATTTTATTTATTTCTTCGAAATGTGAGTAATAAAAATACTTGTCAACGCTTGTTGCTCAATAAATTTTATTAATGGAAATTTATTTATCATAAATTTAAAGTAAACGAATATATAAAACTGGGGTGAAGTTTTTATGAAAAGCAAACTATATATTCGCAAGTTTGATTGATACGGTCATTAACTTTATGCTGTGAATGACGTGTTAAATGTAAAAGGAGTCACAAAATCTCAATAAAGAGAAAATTGAACATTTCCCTGTGAATGCATATTTTGAACGCGAAAAAGTTATTTCCAATAAAAGAAAATTTTTTAAATAAACTACAAAAGAATTTTTGTTCTTTGAGGGCACGACAAGTTTAAAAAAAACTATATATTGATTGAAATAAAAGCTGCTTTTTTTTTTTTTTGAACAAGAGAAAAGTAATTACATCTTATTTTATTTTGCTTGCGTAAGCTTTATTAAGATCGAATTAAAAATTGCTAATGTTCACGTATGCACATCTTGAGATGGTTCAGACGCCACACTTCTCGTTCAGCAAATCGAGCGCAGCACCAGCTGCTGTGTCACTCCAAACCAACTTATTGAACACTTATGGGTTTTTCTCGGTTTCGGCAATGACCCTTGAATTGTTGAATCCATCGACTGCGTTAGTGCGCTCAAAGCCATGGCGACTATTCAATCATAGTTTTCTCACAATACAACCTCAATGTCTAAGCTTCTAAATAAAGCCCAATTTGTGGGTATGTATGCAACACCCAGATAGAAATTGAGAATCGCTCTCTAAATCGAGTTTAGCTTGTCTGTCTGTCTGTCAATTTTGCTTTCCTCTGTTCAACATATCACCTCCTTTTGTTATGCCGTTAGATTAATAGCTACGCTTCGGCGCTATAGGATATTTAATGGGAGGTTGTGGCCTAACGGACTATCACCCCGAATGAAAGACCTTTTCTATGAGAGACAGAAATATGGTGGGATTTTGAAATGTTATACAAATGTTCTTACAGCCATGCCACAGTGTTGCGACAGGTCGCTGAGATATTTTTGTCATATATTGCACAAAATAATATCAAGTATTGACCAAGGCAATAGTCGCAGTAAGACTATCTAATATCAACTCTGTGTTATGAAACAAGATTGTTAAGTCACGAAAATCGCAAAATAAAAAGAAATGCCTTGTGATATGTGACGTCTCTATGACATTGTTCAGAATACGTCTATAAACATGGATTCAATGATGAAAGTGGTCTCCTGAAAAATTAAACACTCTTTGACGATTTAAAAGTGATCAGCCGTAGCTAATGTTAAACAATCAATTTTTTTTCGTGTCTAAATATTTAAATAAATACAAAAAGTTTCGGAAATTGTTAATAAAAATATATTTTTTTATCAAAATCAATTTTATAATGTTCGAACTAGACCCCGTTCCGACCTTTCGCTCTAGTCTTCACATACTAGACATTGTTTGAGAAAGCCTAATATGGAGAGATTTCACGGAAATGTCTTCTATACTTGCAAGTTTTTCTGAACCGAAACCCCATCCTATAGTTCCAATGGATGAAAGTCGTGACTAGCAAGCCGGCTATAATGAGGACACAGCAGGTAAATTCATAACGCTTAGTGATTGGGGACACACCTACTAGGCGGCGATCACTGTAACTACGAATGATATGTGGTTATTGCTAAAGCGTATGCATGCTCGGTAAAGGCGTAACACCTTCATACTGGGCACATCTCACCTACAAACCGAGGCCACACCCTATTTCTTTGTTTTTCCGTACTTCTTTCGGGTCCATCCCATTTTACGGATATAGGGGGCATCCTGTGCATGATTGGTCGTATTAAAAAAAATAAAGAAAGTTGCCACGACGTTCACTTGATCCTACAGGCTTAACTTTCAATGAAAAGCTTTACATTTGAGAAAATTGATATTCCTCGAAATCGTTCGTGCGGCTATGCTTTTTATTTTTATAAATAGTTTGGTACATTTGGGATGAAGTGAGAAAATAAGTCTCCTTTTTCGTCCATTTATCTAGGACACAAACGATAATGTTATAGTACCAGTTTCCGAATTTCGCCTTGATTCAGTTATTAGAAGCCGACCAAATTTAGTTTAGCTTAGTTGCATTTTCCAGGCTTACCATATTTTGTTCCATTGGCATGTCCTTGTTTCTGACGCCAATCACTGTAGTTCTTTTTGCTCGGCGAAAATAAAAAAAATTTTCCACAACAAGCATTCGAAAAGCTCTCCAAAGTATTGTAAACAAAACACTCGCGTTACAATTTTATGCGTTGCAGTTCAGTACAATGCTTTCAACTTGCATAAAAAAGTTGTGAATATGAGTGTAAACTCGAGTGCGGGTTTAATAATGAATTGCGTTCATGCATTACTTACAAAACGAAACGAATTAAATATTTTTCGTTGTTCTTTTCCCGCTCGGACATGTACGAAGAGTCTCGAATAAAAGCCGAGACCAGAGACCGTTTTTTGAATAAGTTGCTCGACAGGAATATTACGGTCGACAAATTTTCCAGTAGGTTACTAAAAAAGTGCATACCTTATGGGGAGCTTACTCCCTGCAAACGCAGCGCAAAGAGGCGCTAAAAAAGATTTTCAAAATATTTCACCTCTTGGTCAGTTAGCAGCTAGTAATGGAGATGAGAGAAATTGAGCATAATCCCGCCATAGAGGAATCAGCTGTGCCGAGATATTCACAGAATATTGGGAACGTAAACGGGTAGTGAGTTAGGAGCAAAGGCAAAATATTTGTATATATTTTTTTTAATTCATTCAGTCAGATATGTCAAGACTGATATTGATGTTATTATTAACTTGTTTTTTTTTTTTTTTTAAATTAATCTGTGGCATTTTTAAAGTAAACTCCTTATTTAATACTTTAAAAATTACAAGTTTATTCTTTACATCCACATGTAGACCACAAAAACAAACTACAAAACAAAGCTAGAGTTAATTGTGGTTAAATATGTATATCCCAACCAATGCTAAGAGGGTGAGAGAACGAAAAAACAAACATAATGCACACAATGCTAAATTTATATACATAGATGAACGACTGTATAACTTTAACACAACAAGGACCGTACAGAGGTAACGAGGAACAGAAATGAAAACAAAACAAAAAAAAGGAATACAATTTTAGTATGGGGATTGAATAGAGCTACACAGCTTCATGCAAAAAACTATTTGAAAACAGAGAAACTGAAAAAATACGTCCAAAATGGATGGAAAAATACGAAGATGAAAATAACGTCTTACCCGTTTAGGTTTAGTTTAGCCAACGCGCTGGGAGTCTCATTTAAAAAGAATAAAAACTCAGAATGTTAACAAATGTAAAGTGTACGTACATGCACAGACATGCGAACTTGTAAGCTGGCATGCAACATAGACGAGTGTTTTGAAGTTATTTATTCACTTGATTGTCCTGAGAAGCTGTGCATAACAACAAAAGACTTCATATGCTATGAAAATAAATTTACAGCAAGCAATAAAAAGAGTGAAAGAGAGTGAGAGAGAGAGAGAGAAGGAAAGAGAACTTTATAAAAAATTGAACAAGAAAGAAAAATCACAACAAAACAGTAAACAGCCGGAAGGAACCTTTGGCGAGCAGTGATGTGAATCTACACGCACAACTGTATTCCCTCAGCTTGAGTTCTTTGATTATGTTAGAAACGGGTGTCTGTAGAACCGCGTAACTAACGGCGCGAGAAAAGTTCAAAGCTTAATTTTCGCATACAAAAATTTATGTGAAAACAAATTGACGCGTTCTAGTCGGACCAGACCAGCTGTAATCCAAAAAAGAGAATTTAAAAGGTATGCTACTGCGTTTAAAAAATAATATGAATTTTTTGTTGCTTATGGAGTGAAAAAACGTTCGTTATTCTCTCAATCAATCAATTTCATCGCCTTACAAGTACTTCCTGTTCGACACAAAGTACTTAGGGCAACGTTTTTTCCAATTTCTAAAACAAGTAGAAAATACATTTCCAGGATGGCTTTATAAACTTTTTTTGATATGACCTTTAAGTCCTCAAAGGATTTGGAACCATCTTCTTTATTAAACAACCAGAAGTCGCACAGTATTAACTTGGCCGAATGCAGCGCTCGACGAACGATACATCATCACGTAAACGCAACGTTTTTTTTCGAGATGTGACGCTTTTAAGACAGAAAACATCTTTTAAAATGGTTTGGCTTCATCCGAACGAAATGCCCATAACATCAATCGTCTCTAATTATCAATCGGCGATTTTCCAGGACGTTGGTCTTTTGATTTGGCTTTGACTTCCGTCACGTGGCTTTTGTCGGTAGATGTTGATGGTCGCCCGGGAAGCTCTCTGCTCGTATTTTTTGGTCATTTTCAAAGTCTTTACATTACTTCCAATATTCGTTGTTCGGTAAAACCAGATTTAATAAAGATGAAAAACACTCAGCTTAACAGGCTTACGAAAACCTTCATAGTATTGCAGTAATGAAATTTTATATAAACGTGAAACACTGCGTAGGTGTCAAAGGCAAGACTCTCTCAGTCCACAGTAGAGATAGTTTCATTATATTCACTTAATGTGATGTTCAAAAAAATATATTGCGAAGAAATATTGAAGATAATAGGATTCATTTTTTGAGCCAAAGCCCGACAGTTCCGTAATGTTCGCTGCGAAGTTAAGAATCGCGACTACTGAGCCAGTGATTCAAATTTAAGTGCGGTAGAGGTTTACTTGACCGTAGCTATGGTGAGTATTCCGTCCATATTACCAATTGGCGCACATCAACTGGGCTGCGGTCATCTCTCAATCTGTTTCCATTTCTATAGTTGCTTCTGGCTGCCAACGTGTTACACACGTTGGAAGGAAAAATTCTCTGAATAACTGTAAACAAGTAAAAAAAGTTATATTCGGCGGGGACCGAATCTCGCATACCCACCGCTATGCTTTTCGCATTCTACTGTCCAGGTCCTTCAAGTTCTTTCATTTGATACCCCCATCGCTCGTATTATTAAGAAGAAATTAATCGCGTTGGCTATCGTAATCATTTTAAAATTAACCCATGTCTAGGATGATATTACATCTTCGTTTAAGGAGTGTGCAAAGTAGTTTTAATCATTTTGTCTGGTTTGCCTAATGATAAATAAGCATAAAATCTTAAAAAATTAAAAAAAAATAAAATTTAATCACTTGTACTTTTGTGTGGTCATGACCCATATTTTTCCTTTTTTGCTTCTAAAGAGTAGAGTGTTTCGTAAAGTAAGTTCGGAAAACATTGATAGCCTCGTAACATTGATAGTTTCAGAGTAACGAGCAAAACTCCAAAAATTGTTATTAAAAAAAACTGAGTTGCGTTCACTTTACGCTCTACTGCGATGTCACACCGGCCGATTTGGCCAAAGAAACCGCGAATTATAAGCGATTACAAGTCAATCGATAGGGCAAACCAAAAACTTTAACACATATTGCACGATTATCGTGTTATGGGTGTAAGAACGGTTGCCAGCTACGAACGAAAGTTTAAGAACTCTTGCCAGTGCATTGTGAGAATAAGATTTTAGAGAAACCAAAGAAATAAGAGAAAAAGTGAAATAAGAAACTTGAAAAATACTTACAAAATTAATGTAATCTAATTAGGAAAATTAAAAGGAAATCTTCGCCACAAGTTAAACAAAGCGCCAGGAAATTTTCGTAAGAATTAACTAAGTTTCGAACTTGAAAGCGATCTCAAATAGGATTACTTGACTTTGCTGTTTTCGAAATCAAGTCATTAATAGATGAAAAAGGAGTAGTAGTAATAAACTTCACATTTTCGTGTGCAGTACAAGGCAAATTCTTTTCCAAAACACTGGCATGGTTGCGTCGGCTAACCCGTCATACGGAAATGATGGAAAATGAGTTAGAGATAAATGAAACTAAGGACCTTAGTAGCAACGCCATAAACAATTTGTGCAAGACTTGAGTGCACGTTGTACGGGGTTAACACTAATCATTCCACATCTTTTTAAAAATTTGCTGCTACTTTTATTTTTTTTAGTGTTAATTGTTAATTTATAAAAAATGTAAACAAAATATTTTTGAGTGTATGTAAATGAAACAGTCAAAAGATTTAAGTTCAAAGTTCGAACGAGTCTTAAAGAATCGCTCAGGCAAGATTAGTAGACAATACGTAGAGTATGGAGGGTAAACTTGCTTAATTTTATTTTAATGAAATTGTTAATTATATATATACTCGACACAGCAAATATTTTTGTTTTTTTAAATTTTTTTGTTTTGTTAAATTTTATGAAACATAAAATGCAATTGCAATATGAAATTATCATATATTATTTATATTTAAATATTTTTAAAATAATTTTTCTTCAAATAATAATTTATAATTTAATATTTATTTCTTACCATTTATAGGTGATTCAATTATATTAAATTGCCAAGCAGATGGCACACCCACACCCGAAATTCTATGGTACAAAGATGCTAATCCCGTTGATCCATCGCCTACTGTTGGCATCTTTAATGATGGCACCGAGTTACGGATCTCCACTATTAGGCATGAGGACATCGGAGAATACACTTGCATTGCACGCAACGGTGAGGGACAAGTCTCCCATACGGCCCGTGTTATAATAGCGGGTGGCGCTGTAATCATGGTAAAATTTCTTCTCATAATTAACCTCATTTATCCTAATTCCCTTACCCTTTTCTCTTGAAATCCTTCCAATAATTCTCCTTTAAATTTCCCCTTCCAAACTCGAAGACAGCAAAAACTTTCATAAGAAACGAAAATTTTATATTCGAACTCAATACGTTTTCTTAATGATTGATTGATGATTATCATCTTTCGAAAATCTCATTTCATTTCTCTTCTTCTTTTTCATTTTTCATTTTTCGTTATTTTGTTCCGTTTTTTGGTTTTTCTGCTTTAAATATTTGATGAGAACTTCTTATAGAAATTAACGAAAATTCGTGCAAAACTTATATAACATTTTTTTTTTTTTTTTGTTTGTTTTTGGAAAGGCCCTTAAATAAATTCCTTTTCGTATTTATTTCTCTGTCTATGTTCAAATTGCTTTTATTTTAAACAGTTTGATGGGCTTTAAGAATATCGGAGTAAGGGGTAAAAAGTTCAGTAATACCCTTTTTGGAATGGATAGAATGACTGACAGCACATGTTGCAACACGTTAAAACAAATTGTGTAGAGGGAAAGTTTCATATAGTTATCGCATCAGTGCATAAATATTGCAATGAGTAACCGAGAAACAAGAAAGAACGAAGGGAGAATGGCTGAGAATTGTGCTGCATGTGCTAAGAATATATGAATATTAAAAAAAAAAAAAAGTCTTTTTTTTTTTTATGAAAATTTGTTAAACGCATAGGCAACAAATTGAAACTTGAATTTTTCCTTTAGACCCTTTCTTGGTAATGAATTGATGTAGTGCTCCCTACAATATTTCCTCATGAACATTTATTATTTACTTAGCCTTTATGTAGGAATCCACGCAGAGTGTGTTTGAGTTCACAATGGTTTATGTGCGCGATGTTATGCCGGGCTGTGTGCATAAAAACAACTAGACCCACTAATCTTAGTGCCAACAACTCGAAAACTTTTATCACTCAAATTTTCGCATGTCACTTTGCTGTCGGTGCAAAAGGGATAACGTGACGAGTGTCACGTTTGCCGCGCAGCACTTGGCCACTTAATCTTTTATCTGGGTGTTTATCGATCGATCTAAATTGATTACAGACTTCGCATTAGATGTTGCACCAAATACATACCACGTAGATAAAATATCAATGCGTAGAAAAGTATCTTTTCAATGGCTGCCCTCGGAGAAGGGGATTGTATAAGTTGTGTCATTCCACCTGTAATTGACGCGGGTATATACTCAAAACAATAATTGCTCTTGCCAAGTGCAATTTTCTGATTCAATTTAGCCAAGTGTAGTCTGTCCTTGAGTCTTTTATTTCATTCAAATTCTTCAGGTCACAGCCACAGTTTATTTAATTTTACACTTATTATTAAGTATTATTAAGGAGTGATGGTATGATAGCTTTGTCAATTAATTTGCAGAATCTAGTCTTGCAAGCAAACATTGCCTGCTTAAGGTAACATTCTCTACGTAAGCTCCTACCTGCTTGAGGATCAAATTAACTAAAAGAGAAAAGTTAAGGGGACATTTTTTTTTTTTTCTCCATAGAATAATAGTTAGCCATGCATTAATAACGGCCTTTCGAGTCCGTCTGACCAGTAGAGCCTTTTTTTGTCATGCGGTCGTCTCCCTCCACCTCTCCTCTTCTTCCATTAAAAAGGAAAGATAGCATGCAGCAGTACCAATGGGCAAGAAAAACGTGTGGTCGCCAAGCACATGCAATTTTTCGAAATTTTTAGACATGTTTACATATATATTCTACTTTCAGTACTTGTAATATGTTTTTATGTTTATATGCTACAACTTCTACCCTTTTTTCAAAAAGATCATTAAAAGTCTTTTTAACGTCTACGGCGTATAAATGCATCTTATGAGGCCCCATTGTACGTGTCTTGACGTGCAAGTAGCGATTGTTGCTGAAAAAAATCTATTAACTTTCTAAAGCTTAAGTCTTAAGTGGAAAGAAGCTGTGCACTTCTGTGTCAACTAAGTCTCGGCATTGTATTTCTTGCTCCAATTCGTATGTCAATGTGCACACATTTGGTCACACAGCGAAAAGTCGATAAGTTACATATTAAATTACTTTCTCATCCAACCTATCCCTCGACTTCAATCACATAAGACGATTTTCTCCTTTAAAACACTAACTCGATAGTAAAAGATTTCACAAAAAAGTTTACCTTTGATAGTTGATTGCCATTCCACTCCAAGACTGTCGAACATAATGAACATAGCTTGAAACGCGTATTAAGCTCAAAGAGCATTTCGCTAAGCGATAGAGAAACTTTTTTCCCAACATTTTTCCGTTTTTTCTTGTCAGGGACGTTATTTCAGAGATGATGTTTGTAGCAGTTATGCAAACTACTTAACGAGGTATGGTAATTTAAAGAAGTGGATCTCTTCACACGCTATGGCTGAAAATCGATTTTAAAATCGTTACGATTCGCCGGTTTTTCGACTGTCTATTAGAAATTACGTCGAAAAATTATGCAAGTGTCGTTGTTCACGATTGCAGTTTTCCCCTCATTTTTCACTCATTTTTCAGTGTGTCTTCAAGAGCTTAATATTAATAATCCTGTGTTAGCTTTCAGCATTGACTTGCTAAGAACTTATGCTCAACTTTTCATCTCTTTTTTTTATCGCTTTGGGGTTTGCAAGAGAAGATGACACACGTATAGGCAGGAGAATGGACGGAAGAAAATCGAGGACGACGATCTGTTTATTGATCGAAAGTGCGTATACTTCGTGAATGGTGTGAGTCATATTTGCAAGTATTACTACTAACTTGATAGAAGAAAAACAATTCTTTGAAGGTAGAGTCAGTCTATTTGAATTTTATAAGAGCAGTAGGCAAATATTTAACATCATTTTTTTCTACACAATACCACTTTAAATGGTTTGACATAAATCCTGAGTAGTTATAGTTTATGTAAGAGAGTCACTGTAGCATGTCGCATGTAGGACATCTCTATTCTAGACGTGTGCATCCATATATATACGCCTATCAATGTCTAAATATATGCATTATTCAGTCTTACAAAAACGACTTGATTTAGTTGAAAACCTTTGCACAAAAATTGTCTCTAAGCTCATAGTAATTAGCACCTAAAAACTAAATATCTTGAAGAGATTCTGCTTTTAGTTGTATGCACAACAACCTAACTGCCTTTTGCGGGGTATGCTTAACAAGCGACAGGAACATTTTAATCCAATCCTTTAATGTTCTACGCTTTCCTTGCAGTTAGTGGGGCTTTCATCTTCTGCTTGTAACATTAATTTGCAATTAACATTAAACTTTATATAGGAAATTTCTTTTAAGGCATATACGGAGGGTTTGCGCAATATTCTCTCCTTCAGCACAAACCTTCAGCTAGTTTTGCTTTTATTTTCAACATTTTCTTCGTCAGTCTACGAGATTGTCTTCTTTCGGTAGATTTTCAGATTATGTTCTTTTAAAAATGTAAATGTGTGTGTGTGTACACGTTCGCTTAGGCGTTATGCAAACAGCCAAACAGTTTGTCAGCATGTAAATGGGTTCATGCAAGCATAGCTACTGTGTGTGTGCCATACATAAAATTTATGAAGCAATTTAACTTAATTGCAAAGTAACTCATTTAAATGTATGAACATTAATTTTAAAATATACACAAAAATACAACGACACAAGCAAGAATTCTCGCACGCATATAATGTAAAAGAAAGCAAAAAAGATTAACTAATTTTGCTTATAAATTAATGGAAGCAAACTACATGAGAATATTATATTAATAACTGAAAGGTTCTTGATATCTATTTGCAGTTCTCTTACATATAAACAGATTAAGCTCGAATGTATTTATGAAATACTCGCTCATTAAAATTGCAACAGCATAGATGAAGGACTCTTATATTTAATAAGAATCTTCAGATGATATACAATATATATTAAAAGACTCTGACTATGTCACCGCTTCGCATAGCTGCTTTTCTAATAGACGCTATTTACGTTTTGAAAAATTTTCCTCTCATCCATTTATCAAGGGGTTGTCTTTATTAATTATGTCATCCATTTATATTCTATTCGAAGATGTTGCTTGAAAGCTGTCTTGAATTAACGTAAGATGCTGAATAGATTCAGCGAAATGCATCTGTCTGCCCGATTGTTGCTGAAACCCAGAAAGAAAGGATTAACGTTTTATCATTTCATAGGCTATATAACACATGCAAATAGGTCTAGAGTTGTCAAAGGAAAACGAAAAGAAAAACGAACAAAAATTGACATAAAATGTAGTAAAAATATTTAAACGAGCAAATAAGCCGGCCATACTGCAATGACAATTTACAAGCAAGAAAGTGAAGAGTTCGATAGAACTTTCTTCCTTTTCTTATCACGTTTCCCCTTCTTCGTAACACCGTGTAAAGCTTATAAGTTATCTTAAATTGAAAATTTTCCACAAATATACCCAGCGGAGAATGTATGAATGTGTCATTGTACGGACCACAAACACACATCAGGGAGAGCGAGCTTGTTGATTAGCTTAAAATTGAAGCTTACCGCATTCCCCTTAAGCAGAATTGACAGAAACCAATATTTGGGTTGATTTGTTTAGGGCACAAATTGGTTTAAACAATTCAAAGTGTTTCAGTATACCATCGTTATTAGAAACTTATCATACGCAAACGATTTTTTGTTAGAAAATTTGACCCAAATTTCATCCAGATCGGCCTCATATAAAAGAAGTGATTAAGAAAAAGTCAGCTTTACTAATATTTACCTTAGATTACGATTATCTGAGGATCTAGAAAATGCTTATTGTTTCTATGCTCTAACGCCTGATGATGTAATAGCAGAAGTAACGTCCTTGTAGTCTGGTAATAACGCATCTCAAGAAAAAGGTTGCACTGAAAGGTCATACCCGTCGCTGCCCCTAGGCGTCGAAATTTGAAATTCTTATGAGTCCCGTCAACTTCTTTAGCTCGGAGAACGATATTGCGCCTGGCGTTACGACCGTTTCGCCAAATGTCTTTGGTATCGGATTCTGCAGATAACCGCGCATTCACATAGGATGTAAGGGGACATTTCGCTCATCGCCAGGAAAATGTTTATTTTTTTGAAAAGTCGTTTTAAATTTGGACTAATTGTTATGATGATCTGCGCAAGTACTATAAGTTGATAACAGAGATCTTTTCAGACTTTAATAACTTTACGTAGGTCTTTTAATTACAATCTTTCGAAAATTTTTGACATTCTCGAAAACCTTGAAATTCCATCCTTAACTGAAATCGGAAATTGGGAAGCCCTTCCACTTCCTAATTAATCCTATTCTTGCCATTCCTCGCTTTATTAGCGCTGGAGTGTGAATAAAATTATTTACAAGACCTACATTTACATGGGGACTTATGGACTTCTCTGGACGTTCGTAAACAATACAGTATTCTTTTACTAATCAGCATAGTGGGTCATTTGTTGTTCATTTGCTGAACATTAGAAAAAGAAGAAGTCTACGGTGTCTCTGCAATTAATTTCTAACGGATTTTGTTTTTAAATTCATGGCAAAATGGTAAAATTTCACAAATTGATATATGAAGCAAAACCCAAAAATAGCCTCAAACAAACTCAAGATAGTGAACGAAAATGGCATACCGTTATGAAAAGTACACCGTTTCGTTTGACAAGCTTACTTTCTCATATTGCCTATAGGCTTGTATGCACACATTGCAGGACGACTTATATGCCCTTTGTATCCATTTATATTTTGTCTGCAATGTGTTCTTCAGTTACGATGCCAAACCTTTCAGGTTAGTAAGGTAACAGCAGCAGGTCCATAAGCACACAAAGCAATGATTTGAAATTTTTTCTTTTTTATATCATATTTGTGAATGATTTCAGCGGAAATCTTCGCGCGAGTGTATCAGAATCGTGAATACCAAGTCAGTGCTCGCGCTTTCAATTCTCAGAGTCAAATTTAGAGCATATCTAGTTGTAGCTGTAGTGAGTATTCGGTCGGTAAAGTCGTAACAATTTCCAATTGCCGATATTCTCTTTGTTCACTTCTTACCGGACGTCACCACGTTACACGTACAGGCGATATCCCTTGAATGACAAGTCATATTGAAAGAAAAAAAGCATCGATATTACCTTGAAAACTTAATTTCTTGAGCGTAAGCAAAGTGCGCTTGTACTTCCGGTTGTTTCTCAGTTCTTCACGCCATATCTTAATGAATCCTTCTTGTTTTCGAATTTCCCATATGGAAACCAAACAGGAATATATAAAGTTATGTACACATGTTTTGTTGAAAGTGTTCTCCTGTAAATAAGCAAAGAACTGCATTAATGAATTGTTGTAAAATCCATTCGAAATTCAATGCAATACTTAAAAAAGTATTTTAATTAATTAAAAAATCACTTAATAAATAGATTTTGCTTGTATTAGCATAGCATGACAACGTCGAAGTTCTCTCAACTATACAACCAGGAGAAATTTACTTTTATCTAAAATTAGATAAAGTTTTTATGAAGATAATCGTAAAACTTTGATAATTTCCGCTTTCCTTCCATTCTTGTTCTAACGCAACCAGTTTCGTTTATTATTCCAAGGTTCGCTTTCGCAATTGCCTTTAATTCCGCTTTGATTTATTTATTTCTTGCTTAATGCCGTTAGAAGGGATTCGTTCCTTTAAAAGATGGCGCTCAGTCTTTTCACTGCAAAAGCTTACAAGTTTTATTCGGCCACAAAGAAAGTTTTCATAAGCACTACGAATAAAAAGAGAAAAAACTAAATTTGCCCGACCATCGCAAATAAAATTTAAGAATGGTGTTGCCTTTGTTCATGATTTCGTAGCAAAGTTTCAACAGATGTCATTTGTTGTTGTTTGTTTTTTCTTTTTGCGCATCTTTCAGCGAGTGTCGAAGTAAAGTGAAGCACCCGTTAGCACGTTCGTAGGAGCAGCAGACATTTGTTTACAATTTCGTTATTCAAAAGTACTAATCATGCTATAAAATACTCATTAATGATCATTTGTCCCTTTTCAAGATAGTCGATGAGTACATTATACCATGCGCATCCCAAAATACGTAAGCCATAACACGCTCAGTCGCCTTTTGCGTTTTTGGTCGCTCCGTTCACTACTGAGTCGACTCTGTAGATTAGTGATGATCCATTGTCAATATATCGCATTGTCTAATTTCGCCTTAACAGCTCAACATATTTTTGTTTCTGGTCAAAAGTGAACAAACGCGTTACTCATGCAGAACAATGTACATATTGCCTTGCGCTATCATTGTAGGGCCAGCTTTTGACGCCGCTTCACTTTTCGGTCCTCCAAAAAGATTTTGCGCACTTTTTTATGTTTTCCGGCAACCAGAGCGTCGTCGGTGTCTGAGCAACTCTTTTTAAAAATAACAAACCAATCTTCTAGAATTTGGCCCGATGGAGAAGGGTTCAAATAATGCGTATCAAGTAGCGTCACTAAAACGACCGTAACGTGTTACCTAATAGTAAGAACGCCATCAAATATTGATAGGTTTTGTTTGAGAATTAAGACTGTCTAAAAATCATACGAATTCTTCAGTAGTGACGACATTTATATGTTGTTCTGGGACCTTATTGAGAGATATGTTATAATTATTTCGATTTTTGTTACTTCGGGTCGTAGGTTGTGGGGAGATTGGAGAACATGACCCGGAATTGAATTCCACCGTTCTCTTAACAAGCGGACATCTGGACCATTATACCACACGACAGCCAAAATCAGAAATTGGATGTAAACTCAATACGGTTTTGAAAAAACATTACATTTTGAATATCATTTGATATCATTCGCTACTAACAAGCATACATGGCTTCACTTTTTCTTGAGCTCACCTGACTAAGTTTGTCCATTTAGCTTGCGCTGTGGAAGTATTCAATTTTCAATTATGGATATATGCCTTATCGTTCCACGTGGTCACCATTAAATACATAATGCCAAGCTTCTTCTTGATTAAATTAAAGTTCTAAACTAACTTAAACTAAGGCTGATCGGTGCGTAAGTAATCTGCAAATGCAGCTCTCAAGACAACGAAAATTGCGAAGAGAACTCGATACCAAGGCTATAGTTTAAACTCTGAAACCACATTCGTAGAATATCCTCTCCCATACAACCGTGCAAATATATCGAGGGGAATTTATAATTTGAAAGAAGTGTGTAGAAGAAATCTCACAAATCTTTCTCCGCGCAGAGTATTTAATAGCATTCGTTCCTTATGCGTTACAGTTGCGTTTTACGGTACAGTTACGTTTCTTTTAATCATGCTTTTTGTTGCTTTCTCGAATTTCTTCGGTCGAAGACAAAGCAAATGTAAAGTGCTTGGGTTAACTTATGCTGTTCTACTATTTCAAAGAGTGTTTAGTGAGGAAGAAGGGCGTGCAATTTAAAAAAAAAAAAAGGATTGTTTCACTTTGGTTTATTAAACGCCGTAGGAGCTATAGAGAATGCGTCTCAAGCCTTGTATTTATATTTCAGACATATTTATGACGTATGACACTACGCAGACATAAGAATCGCACGCCGGATTGTGATAGAGTTCAGTATTTTTAGCAGACACTCGCCTAGTGTGATCGTAAAAGTCATAAGAAGTGAGTTCAATGATTTTCCTTCCACCTTTACTAAGATGCTCTCCTTATGTTTACCAAAATTATCACTTCGATAAAAAAAGCTTGGAGGTAATTAATTGATGAAAGAGATTCTCTGAAAATTCTCCGAGGACGGGTTTTCAATTCGCTTACAAAAAGACGAATGAAAACAGTATGGTGGGCCCATCATGGCCCGCCATTGAATCTCCTACACCACCTTACAGCTATTCAAAATAAACGTTATATGAGAAGTGGTTCGAACCGGAACAATTTCAACAGCGTTCGTCATTGGGTCGAACAATATTACTTTGTTAAATTTCATTAAAATATGTCAAAAAATGACATATGCTTAGCATCCGATCGATACAATAAATGGTCTATCTCAAATTCCTCTGGACGTTGCATACATCCGTACTCAGCTTGTACCGGAAGTAGGTCTAAAAATCTTTAAAATCTTGATTCAAACGCTGAGATGAAACTAATTCACAATTTTCCGAAAACTCTTTCTTGCCAGTGCACTATGAAAATCGGAATTTCGTTTTTTAATATTCGATCGAATTCCATTTTTATTTTCGCACCTTAATAATTTCTTAGAATTGCTTGAAACGATAGTCATCTACGACTTGTATCACGGTTAACCATTTTTTCTCACATATTCTTCTTCTTCATTGTGCATTTTTCAAAATATCACCAGAAACCCCAAGACAAATTCTTTTATAATAATTTTGACTTACTTTTCTTTCTCTTTCTCTTTCCCTTTTTTTGTTTTGTGTCTTTCTTTCCAACACGGAAACTAAAAAAATTAAAAATGATAATAAAAAAATAAAAATACATTAAATAAATCGATAATTACAACAACAAAATAAACAATATAAATGGCAAATGTTATTGAAAACAACACAACAATCAATCACACAAACACCCATGAAATAAAAAAAAAAATAAATAAATAAATAAATAAAAATGTGTTGACATATGTCTGCATTACCCTCGCCGTATACGACTCACTGTTTCTATATATATATATGCGTGTGTGTGTGTGTGTGTTTATATATATATATATGTATGCTTCTTCTATATGTACTTGCTTACTGTTGTTAATGTTGGCAACGCGATGACAACGATTGAACATAATGAAAACAATAAACCTTCACCTAAATTTTGAAAAAATGAAAAAAAAACACACACACACATCCACGTACCAACCAACCAACCAAACGACGACTGTGCTATTATAAAATACGAAAAAAAAAAAAACAAAAACTCTGTACGTATCCGTATAACTGTATTTGAAAATGTTATAACAGCCGGCTAGCGGAAATTCCCAAACTATTAAAACCTCCAGCAAAACTAATAAAATCTATCAAATAACAGTAAGTTGCACAGAAACACATGAACTGAATGTTCATAAGCAAATTAAATTTCTATTTTTTTTTTTTTTTTTTTTTTACATTTTTTTACGATATTCCTAACTAAATAATATGTACGTTTTTCTATAAATTTTTATTACTTTCGACATACTTACACACTTCTCTCTTTAATTATAAATTTTCATTAATTTACACAAATTTTCGCATTTGTTTTTTTTTCCGTTTTTCTTGGCTGGCGTATGTCAAAATCGTCTAAATCATTATTAATAGAAATATATATAGCTTAAGGACCTTAGAAAATCGAATTGTGCTCTGTTTTATAGAAAACTGCCGTTTCGATTAATGATGGTTTTTAAATTGTTGTTACTATGTGTTCGATACAATTGTTGTTGCTGTTGTTATGTTTGCTGTAATTGTTATTTGGCTGTTTTATTTTCGGTTGAATCGTTGGCATTTTGTATCTCATTCTATACATGTATGTATGTATGTAAATACATATATATTTATATATATATATATATATGCGTGTGTGTTTGTATGTGTACATATGCATATGGATATATATATATATATATATATATATGTATATTTTAAAGCATGTTTGACCACCGCAATGCTGCTCCTATTTTCTTTTCTTTTTTTTTTTCAATACGTACACATAGAGCGTACGCATATATATGCAAAAGTTTCACGCCAACACAGACCCACAAAAGCCAACAAAACACCAATATAACCACAGCTAAAATGTATGCATAAACATACTATATATATATATATACATATCTATAAATATATGCATACATATATATATATATATATATATATATATATATATATCTATAATTATATATATGTGTTTGAATACATATGTAAAACTATAAGTACACAACAGCACCATTATGACAACATAATGTAGGTCCTGAGTTATAAATGCATACAACCATGCATACATCCATGCATACACATTAAACATTATCGCAGTAGCTGCTGCAGTAAAAGCAGCATTTGCATCGTCATCAGCATAGCTACGCAACGCGCTTCGCCGAAAATATATTACGAGAACATTGTATATGACAACAAGCATGCACAAAGCAGAGCAACTCTTAACAATGCCATTGCATTTATTCGTTTATTTAACATTCAATACAATACAATACAAAACACACATATCACCAAAAAAAAAAAAAAAAAAAAAAAAAACCAAAAAGAAAGAAAGAAAATTGTATTACATCACTTTACAATTCCATATATGCACGTATGCTTGCTTGTATATAAGCAATCGTCTATATGTGGGTGTATGTTCATCTGTGTGTGTATGTATGTGTGTGTGTGTGTGTGTGTGTGTGTGTGTGTGTGTGTGTGTGTGTATGTATATATGTATATATGTACATGCAAAGCATTCTGCTTTGCTTGAAATGGAATTCAATGTATCACATACATGCATGTTACAGTAAAGGCAATAATATTGGTTTGTTTAACACTCTCTGTTATGTAATGGAACGTAATATAAATATATATACATATTCAACCAACTAACATACCAATCATAGCCTCCGTAAACCAAAATATGCACATTTTCTGTGTCAATAAACTTGGAAAAACAAACCCAATCAAACAAAAAGCAAATCTACACAAATACAATGTAAGTAGAAATAAAATACAAAAACAAAGAATACATTGAACGGAAAACGAAATAACGAATAACGTTACTTTAGATAAACTACTAACTAAAATAAATGATTATTCACGCAGTCATTAAATCGATGTAAAATAAATTTTTGCGGCAAATTCTTTCTCTTAAGCCGAATCAATTTTGTTTTTAAGCCGATTTAAATTAAAAAACCCTATGGCTGTGCAAAAATATTCGAAAATATTCGTATGACATGTTTTTCTCAACAACAAAAACTATAGTTTAAATTGTTAAAACTTAAGGTTTGCCTTTACTTTCGGGTGCAGCTTTTCTTTTTTCCTTTTTCCAATTCACTGACCGAGTGTTCGAACGGTTTCCAACCCAAGTTATTCACTTAGTCACTATTCTCAAGAAAATACAATTAATTTACAGCCGTAGTGTAGAAATGTGTTGTGCAGTAGAGTGGCTCTAAAAGCTTATGACTCTATATTCTTGTCATACTTTTGTGATTTTGTATTAAATACCAATCGATTAGCTGTTGTTGGTAGCCATGGTACCATTAGACGTTAAAAGCTAACAATAGAGCAAATTCCTTTGGTCCCGTCAAACGCGAAACATCGAATTCCTGCCAAAGCGGTTCAGTACAGCGACGTAGTCGACGCGGGTCGTACACCTGAACATTTTTGAGTCTAAGATTCCCAAAATAAGTCCACCGTTCATATCCAGTTAGGATATGGAGCAAAAGTGTTCTTCTCTCGCAAAACAAAACTATATTCGTCAAACCCGTTATATTTGGCACAAAACAAAACCGCTTCATTGTTAGAAAAAGTATTTTCGAGTTCCGATATGTCTTGGAGTGTTTTCGCGCGTTTACTGTTCCCAGATGTCTGAGCTGTAAAACGAAAGATGTATGTCCGCTACATGTTACATGAGGGCCTTCTCCGGTTTCATTCTTAGTTATACTTAGATACTTAATGTTATCATGGGTGCAAGCGAAACTCAAGGTAAAACTACTTAAAAATGGGCTAACGATCTCTCTACCTGAGATGATGACCTGAGCTCTGCGCCAAAACTGCACAACGAGGTAAGCGGTATTTTTCTCGCTTAATTCGAAAAAGAAACGCTTCTAAATCGTGACAGATGATAAAAAGTAGACGCGATAATAGTGGAAACGTGAGGACCATCGTGCAAGCTATGAGCATCATTAACGTCGTCCCTAAAGTTAAATATTCTTACGACTTCCATTCAGCAGTGTGATTTATTATCACGCACGCTACGCTATCGAGACAAAAGATTAGCAATAACAAAATCAACGCCAAGTGACGCAACTACGTCAATCACTAAAGAAAAAGTGCGTTGAAAATGCGTGAACGCTAACGGACGTCAACTCCTTTCTCATGCACTAGATATTTGTATTGTCGATTAAAATTGATTATCCAACGTTAAAATAGGCATTCGCGATCATAAATACGAAAACGTAATGAAAAGTGAAATCTTTATAATGAAATTGGATGGAGCCATCACGACTGAAGAATGTACAGTCAATAATAGACCAGATATAGCAACAATAGTTAACGAAAAGGAAGGCATTGCGCATCTTATAGATGCAGCCATACAGCTGCACATCCATGTCTAGGTGAAAACATCATTGAAATATACACAGAAACAATAAATAAATATATACCGTCGATAATACAACACAAACAATAAGCATATGTTTTACAAGATTTGCACCCGACATCCTATAAAAAGAAGTAGAGGAGCTGAACCTAAATCTGGAAAATCTACAGATAAATGCAATGCGCCGTAATACTATAGACCAGAAGAATAGCAAGACGATTTATTAATTGCTTTGAATAAAGAAATCGGTAACAAAATTTGAAGATTTTATATACGTGTGCTTCGAATTATGTAAGCCTGTGTATATAGTTATAAGATAGCTTTCATTTTTAAAAAAGAAGAAGATAGCAATAACGATAATATTAATAATAATATCGAAAATCTATTTAACTAAATAAATAGAAGGAATCAAACCACGTATGCATTAATATTCTAGGTTTTGGTTCTTTAACTTCATCACAGCCCGGCTTCGTTTCAATTTTCACAGTATTATTCAGCGAGAGGGACCTAAGACCTACGTTCCGTCTATCTCTTTAAGAGACCTGTCCGCATTAGCTCTCTTAGATCTCGCGCCACGGACACATTGCAAACGCGTCATCTGAGGTAAAGGTTATTGAAAATTACGACTCCTTGAAAAGAGACTCACGACACTTTACACCTTCTTATTTTACAATATTAGCTAGATTAGCTAGATATTTGGCACTGGGACGAATTTGCGCTTATCATCTCATCATTCTCTTCTCTTTTTTTAAATCCGCACACACTCTCACTCCTTAAGATTACTTGCGGTTGCTCCAACTCCTTTATGTTAATTATTTTGTTTTCGTTATTATATTGTTATTGTATCTCTCACCAATAACCTAACATTACTTCGTTTAACCTTCTTACCTTCACTTAGTAAATATTGTTATCTTATCCTAATAGATTAAATAAATAAAATGGCACACACAAAACTGTGTTCATATTTATGTATACAAATGAAAGGGTAAATATATATAACAAGGGAAACACTGTAGCGGACAACGATTGAATATTTTACATCACTTCATTTAGTATAGCTATTCGTATAACGACTGTTTAAAATGAGGCTTTCTATTGGACGATGCGATCTCAATTGTTTTCAATAGCGTTCTCTCCTAGTTCAAAACTTGTCCGCATACCAAATTTCACCGAAAATTGGGCTCTGCATATCGAATACAAGAAAATGACATGAACAGACAAACGGACGAACGGGCAGACAAGCTTAGATAGATTCACAAGGTGGTTCTAAATCGACCGGTATATTAAAGGTTAAGTCCATCTCAAGCCCTTCTGGGTGTTGCATACATCCGCACAAACTTAATATACCACTGTTCCACAGGTGGAGTGGAGTACGAAAATATTAAAACAATGAAATAAATTTTGTTATCATATATCACGCACAAATCCGTATTACGTTACTGCAGTTTAATGGAACCTGAATCAGTCCAAGCCGAGTAGATGTGCTCGACTTTGTTTGAAATGTACAAAAAAACCTCTTTTAAATACGATATTTTGAAGGGAAATTTGTTTAAAAAATTTCTTGAAAGACGTCATCATAAGGCTCCTTCGAAACTGAAGAGAGCGGGGGAGAATCGAAAAATTTTACAAGAGTTCTATCGATCCCACAATTGATATGAAAAAATTTTCATTCAATCTTTGGAGAGATAAAATGTTGGAAGACATTGCGGTGTGTTAATATCCACTTCATATATATATATATATATATATATAT